CCGGGGCGGCACCGAACTGTAGTCGCCTGCGGCGCCTCTTGTCTCGAGGGGAGGGGGCGCGGAGAGGCCCCGGTCGCCACTCGCGGTGCCCATGGAGCGGGTGCGGATGATCAACGTGCAGCGCCTGCTGGAGGCGGCTGAGTTTTTGGAGCGCCGGGAGCGAGGTAACGGCTAGGTGCTGCCATCTCCGCTGTCTGTGGCCGCGGGCGTCTGCTCCGCGCGAGGAGTGCGGTGCAGCGCGTGTGCGAGGTGGAGGGACGTGTGTTGCAGGGGTGCAAGGAAGTTAGAGGGGAGACGTGTCTGGGGAATGTCGTGTGAGGGAGTCACACATGAATGTGTATGTGGGACATGCGTGTGAGGGGCGGTGCTTATGAGGTGAAGTGTACCGGGTTCGTGTGTGTTTCTGTGTGGTTGTGAGGTGTGGGAAGGGTGGGTGAGGGGGGCAGGGGCGATTTGGGACGCTAGGACAGAGAAGGAGGCCTGGTGGCACCGCGGTTAAGTGCTCAGTTATGAACCAAAAGATGAGAGTGAAGGGAGGAAATGCCTCGCTGAACAGGAGGGAGGAGGATGTAGAATTATGGGCCAGGGATAGCTGAGTATCAGGTGTAATGAGTTGGGATCCCTTTGGAGATGTAAAGAGATTGGGGTGTGAAGAGCAGGAAGTCTGAGAATTGGGGTGTCTGGACTGGAGTGTAAATGTTCCTCTAGGAGTGCCTGGTGTGGCGCTGTGGGTTTATGCGCTGGACAGCAAAGTCGGTTTGAACCACAACGTTGGCGGTTCAAGCTCACCCGCTGCTCCTTGGAAACCCTATACGGGATCGCTGTGGGTCGAAACTGACTCGATGGCACTTACCAACAATAAGGACTAAGTAATTGAATTATTTAAACAATACAAAGGTGAGACTTAGTGAAATCATTGAGGTGAATGGTTAACTGGTCTCAGAAATACGGATGTTTGAGAAAAGATTTTTAAGAAGAGGGAGAAATTGTTTGGTTTCAGGGGATAACAGTACGCCTTCCAGTGGATGGATTAGGTCTGTGCAGTGTCGCAGGATTGACGTCCAGTCAAGGACTGACATTTTTATCTTGCAACTATAAAGAGTGGGAGAACTTCAGCTCTTTTCTTTTTCCTGTTACTGTAAGGACTTGGGTCTGTGGGTCCATGAATTTGAGTATATACCTCTTACTAAATCTTTTATTTTTTCATGCTGTTTCTTTAGAATGTGAACATGGCTATGCCTCAACGTTCCCCTCCATGCCAAGCCCCCGGCTGCAGCATTCAAAGCCCCCACGAAGGTTGAGCCGGGCCCAGAAACACAGCAGTGGGAGCAGCAACACCAGCACTGCCAACAGGTAGCAAGCAGGGGAGGTTTGGAAGCGGGAGCTGGAGGAAGGAGCACAAACTCAGGCAGAAATGCCAGGCCTACTGAATGAAGGTCTGCTTTAACACCAAGTCTGGAGCAACAGTAAAGGCCCCACATGGGTTCTTTTACCACCAAATCTGGGGATTTGGTCCTGGGAATCATAACCTAACTGTATGGAATGCAAGGAATAGAATCTAGGAAGATAATCAGAGACGTTCTTGTGTTAAGCATTAAGATGAGGAGCTCTGTGACTGAAGGGACAGTAAGTTAAGAGACTTGGCAACATGTGCCCATGTATACAATCATATGTTAAAAGTAGTCTTCAGCCAGTTTTCGTTGTTCTGTACAAGTTTAGAATAGTCTAAAAAGAATTTTAGACTTTGTATAACTGCCCTATAGGGTTTCCAAGGCTGTACATCTTTATGGAAACAGAAGGCCACATCTTTCTCCTACTGAGCAGCTTGAACTGCTGACTTTTCAGTTAGTAGCTGAGTGCTTTAGGCACTCTGCCACCTGGTCTGTTTTGAAACATATTACAAATGTTAAAAAATAACTAACTGTGGAAGGAATGAATGAAAGTTAAGCAGTGGTACCTTTAAAATTGGAAATAAACCGATAAGGGTTAGAGGAGTGGGCGTGTGAACCAGTTGGAAGAAGGCACCTTCCACTCCCGCCCAACTCCCAAAACAAGGGTGATCAGCTATCCTGCCAACCTCCTCTCCCTAGTACCTTTGAGAATCATTTTTCTGTGTTATCTTTCCTTAGAACAATAATGTTCTTTAACATACATATGTAATCTCTACATTTCTATTACTATAAGGAGGAACTGAGAGCATTAAATAAAAAATTTAATATTAACTTGAAAAAAAAAGTGGCTTTTTATTTATTATTTACCACCAGCCTGTCGTTTTTGTTAGACTGTGATGACTTGCATGTTGCTACGATGCTAGAGGTTAGGCCGTCAGTATTTCAAATACCAGCAGGGTCAGTCACGTAGTATAGGGTTAAGTGGAGCTTCGGGACTGAGAATAGGAAGAAAGGCTTGGTGATCTACTTCTGCAATTAGCCAATGAAAACCCTATGGATCTCAGAATACTGTCTGATGAGACTTGGATTTGCTTACTTTGGATACATCATTGTTGTTGTTATGTGTCTTGGAGTTGGTTCTGACTCATAGTGACCCTGTACAGGGTTTCCAAGGCTGTAAATCTTTACGGGAGCAGAAAGCCTCATCTTTCTCCTGCAGAACAGCTGGTAGTTTCGAACTGCTAACCTTGAGGTTCACAGCCCGATTCGTAACCACTACGCTACCAGAGCTCCTTTGGATACATCATTAGGAGGTACCAAAAGCTGGAGAAGGCCATCATGACTGGTAAAGTGGAGGACCATCCTCGAAAGATGGGTTGGTACAATAACTGTAATGCTAGATTCAAACATGTGGCACTTGTGAGGATGATACAGGACTGAACAATATTTCATTCTGTTATAATAAGTTGCTGTGAATCAGCAATCAACTTGATGGCTTGTTGTTGTTAAGTGCCTTCTAGTTGGTTCCGACTCATAGTGACCCTGTATAGGGTTTACAAGGAGCAGGTGGTAAGTTTGAACTGACAATTTGCAGTTCAAACCAACCTTGTGGTCCAGTGCTTAACCTGTAGTGCAGTACCAGGACTCTATTTTAACAACATGTTTATTCTAACTCATATTGTTAATTACAGTACCATTTTACCCACAACCAATATCCACGAAATCTATTTCATGCCTGACTCTTTTCTAAAATATTCAGCTACAATTTAGAAATCAGGTAATGTAGGAAATCACCGATACTTTTAACATTTTTAAAAATGTTGTTCTGTAATAGAAAGTGTTGTAAATTATAGAAGCAGTGTAGGTTTTTAGTGGTTTATCTTAAATGTACTGCTTTAACTTTTGAAAAAATACTTACTAATTTTAATCTTCAAAGTTCTCTGTAGTTCCCAATATTGCTCTCTTACCTAAGAAGTGGTTATTTCACAAATAATGTATAACTTGCATAATGTGTTTCTTAATTTTTGACACTGCAAAGAATATTTTTTTAAAGGATAATACAGCACACCCATGTTCTATTCACAATAGCAGAAAGATGGAAACAAGCTAGTACCCATCATCGGATGAATGGATAAATAAACTGTGGTACGTACATACAATGGAATACTATCCAACATTAAAGAATAATGAAGAATCCATGAAACACTTCATAACATGGATGAACCTAGAGGATATTATGCATAGTGAAATGAAGTCAATCACAAAAAGACAAATATTGTATGAGACCACTGTTATAAAAAGCCAAGAAAAGGTTTACACACAAAGAAATGTTCTTTGATGGTTACCAGGCATAGGAAGAGAAAGGAGGGTAAATCACTAACTAATTAGAGAATTGCTGTTCCTAAGTACTGTTGAGTTAGTTCTGACTCGTAGCAACCCTGTAAAGGGTTTTCAAGGAGCAGCTGGTGGGTTAGAACCACTGACCTTTAGGTCAGCAGTCCAGTGTTTTTCCTACAGCGCTGCACCAAGAGTAGACGTATCAATGAGAGTGAAAGGCAAGGCAGTATGCAGTAAGGAGGAGGGTAACACAACATGCCCACTGGCAAAGGAAATCACTGGGAGATACACAGGGTAAAAGACAACACAGGTTGCTATTACATACACTCTCCTGCAATAATAGTAGCACACAACATCTATAACTAGATAACATGGGTACATAGACAAGCTGAACAGACATGGGAAGGCGATTGGTAGTTTACCTTATAGTATACATACAGTCTTTGTTGTTGTTAAGTGTCCTTGAGTTGTTTCCAACTCATAGTGATCCTTCATAGAATTTCCAAGGGGCACCTGGTAGTTTTGAACTCCTGACTGTACAGTTAGCAATCTAGTGCTTTTTATACAGCTCTACACCAGGACTCCATATATAGACTTGGCAAAGAATATTTCTATGTATCTATTTGTATGTGCTGTAAATACATCCAAAGATATTGTAGAGCATACAGGGGGCAAAGTTCTGAAAACTTCTTGGCCATAGCAAATACTTTGAGGAAATGACTTACTTAGTTTGGAACTTAGGACCACAGTATCAGGGTATCATGGTCAGTTGATATAAAATAACTCCAGAAGGATGATGTTCTACATCCTAGTTTGATGGGTAGCAACTGTGGTCTTAAAGTTTGTGAGTGGCCATCTAAGATGCACCTGTTGGTCTCTCTTTGTCTGGAGCAAAGAAGAGTGACAAAAATAAAACTCAAGGGAACGCTTTGTCCAAAATGATTAATGGACCATGAGAACCACAGCCTCCCAGACCCTGAGACTAGAAAAGCAAGATGGTGCCCAGCTATCACTATAAATAACTGATCAGTATCACAATAAAAGGTCATGGACAGAAAGAGAGAGAAAAAAATATAGAGCAAAATTCAAAATCATAAAACAGATCAGACTTACTGTTGTTGTAGAAACTGGTGGAACTCCCAAGACTGTTGCCCTAAGATACCCTTAAAGCCTAGAACTGAATCCACACCTCCAGTTACCAACTTTCAGTTAAACAATAGACAGACCTGGAGAGTGAATAATGCCCGAAAGGAATTTAAGTACTGTCAATCCTAAGGGACTCTTGGTATGGTGCTGTAGGATCAACACTGGGCTTCAGATCACAAAGTCGGCGGTTCAAACCCACCAGCTGCTCCATGGAAACTCTAGATAAGGTCGTTATGAGTCAGAACCAACTCATTGACACTTAACAACACCAACAACAATCAACCATAAAAAAAACAAAATGACAGCAGTTGCTCAAAAACAAAGCTCAGAAGGCAGAACAGGGCAGAAAAGGACAAATGAAAATGAGAAACCCAGAGAGCAATTGAAAGAGTACTTTTATATTGAGGGAATTGCAACCAATGTCACAGAACAAAATATTTATAAATTGTTGAATGGAAAATGAATCTACGTATAGAGAGACTCCTGGTGTGGCACTGTAGGATCAGCACTGGACTGTGAACCACTAGTTCGGCAGTTCAAACTCACCAGCTGCTCCTCAGAAAGCCTAGACAGGGTCACTATGCGTCAGAACCGACTCGATGGCACTTAACAACAACAACAACATGTATGTAAAAGGCAATATTTGTATATAGTTTAAAGAGTCAATTAATACTCAATGGCTTATAAAATATTCCTCTTTCCATATCTCCCCATCCAATTTCTGCTTCCTAGAGTTCTAGAGTCCTGTTGTTTTTCTGTAGGCTAAGCACTGGGATGTAGTAGTAGAATAACTACTAACTACAAGGTTGGTGGCTCAAACCCACCAGCCACTGCTTGGAAACCCTATACAGAGTCACTATGAGTCAGAACTGACTTGATGGCACTTTACAACAACAGCAAGTCATTAATCATAAGGAAAATGTCAATGAAAACACAGTGAGATACCATAACACATCCACTAGTATGGCTAAAATTAAATCCAGGTGCTGTTGGTGAAGCATATACGAACTAAATTCTCATTTTCTGGAGATAGTAGACAATATGCAAGATAAGCTTGCTATTTAGAAATATGAAGGCAATCAACACAAGGAACTACTAAATGATTGGAAATAGTAGCCTCTTGTTAAGTGCAGGTGAGTCAGTTCTGACTCATAGTGATTCTATATAGGGTTTCCAAGTAGCAGATGTTGAGTTCAAACCACAGATCTTGTGGCTCAAACCAACCTTGTAGTGTAGTGCTTATCCTACAACGCCACACCAGGACTGATCATGAACATCTTTTAATACGCCTGTTCATATATCTTTTGATTACATATCTGTTCAAATCTTTTGTCTGTTTTTAATTGGGTTATTTCTTACTGAGTTTTAAGAGTTCTTTGTAAATTCTGGATATGAGTTCTTTATTAGATATGTTTGCAAATATTTTCTCCCGTTCACTGATTTGTCTTTGCCATTTTCTTTGCAGTGTCTTTTGAAGAA